ATGATGATGATGATGATGATGACGATGATGATGATGATGATTATTATTATCATTATCATTTTCATTATCCTTATCATTATTATAATTGTTATTACCGTACCTCACCGAGCTCTTTCTTCTTTCATCTCTTGTCCAGCACTGGGAATGCAAGCTCCTCATCAGCATCTTCATGTACAGCGTGATAGCCTGCAACATGTGGATCTTTGTGGAAGCTCTCTACCTCACCATGCTCGTGTATAGGCCCCTGGCCACAGAGAGACGGGGGGTCCGCCTCTACGTTGTGCTGGGTTGGAGTGAGTTTCTTCGTTTTTTCGTTTTGTTAGTTTGTTTGTTGTTTGGGGGGGGGTTGTAAACGTTTTACGACGCTCACAACTGTATAATAAAATGGTCATATGAGCACGTGGGACACATATACATTTTCAGAGAGGATACAAGTTTGAATTTTGCCCAGGTGGTGGCGAAGCCTACACTTATCGATTTTTTACCAAGAATAAATCTTTAACGTGCCCATCTTGACATTGTACCTCCGAGATTTTTTTGGCCCTTGTCCGAGAAATCGAGGTGTAGATCTTCCCAACCAGAAGATCAGGGTGTGGATGAAAGACAGTAGTAAGGAGGAGCCAAGGCTGCAGAAAAAGTCAGGAACCCAGAGGAGAAGGCAAATGGGGAGGGGGGAAGGGGTAGAAAGAGGAGACGAAAGTTGACGACAGAAAGGTTAGAGAGCAGTAAAGAAGGTGAAAGAAGACAATTTTAGAGAAGAAAATGTTCCGTCGCTGTCAAGTTTCGAACCCCCGCTCTATTGAACGAGAGACGAGCACGGTAATCTCTAAACCTCTAGACTTCTAGACCGCGAGAACCCCTAGACACATCTTGACCTAGGGCACAGTTGTTAGACCATGTTTAAGCTGTATGCTTGGTACAGCTTTTTAGTTTAGTTCTAGTAAGAGTTTTACAGCACTTGCAACACAATAAGGTCATATAAGTACCCAAAAATAGATTTGTTACTAGAGAGTAACATACACAAAAAAGAAGGAGGAGAGATGAGGACTATAGATGTTTGATAGGAAATAAGGAGCAGACCACACCAGATCACCTGCCAACCACCCACATGGTACAGCTTTGCCTGGGTGGTAGATATAGAGGAGGCAGACTGCCCAAGTACATCTTTCCTTTCTTCAGACCTTGACTTCTTGATATCATCCAAAAGGGATACATCGTCATGTTAGAACTATCTGAAAATAAATGTGAGGCAGCTTGGTGAAATCAGGCGCTCGTCAAAATAATCAAAGTTAAGAAACTTGCATTTTACCGCAGGTTTGTGAACTGGTATTCAATTTCTTTTTTGGCTCTACACCTTTCATGCCCATTTAGGACATATTTCTGTGTGGATTTTACTGGACTCTCAAGCTATGGGAATAACTCATCTTAGGCGGCCATTTTCTCACTAATTTTACCTCTGAAACCAGGTGACCCCCACCTCTTTCATTCGTAAATATCTCGACTTATATTTAAAGATAAATGATTTTTTTTTCAATCCAAAGCGACACATAAACAAGCTTTAAGATAATACCAATAACTCAACTTGCCTAAAACTTGACGAGAGCCTGATTCTACCGCGTCGTAACGCAATAAATGTCCAAGGTGTCATAACTAAATATGTGAGGCAGCGTGGTGGAATCAGGCTCTCGTAAATTTTTGGGCATGTAGAGTTATCTGTGTCATCTTAAAGCTAGTTTACTTGTCTTTATTTGGATGAAAATATTATCCATTTATCTCGAATACAAATCAAGATATTTGCGAAAGAAAGAAGTGGGGTTCACCTATTTTCTGAGGTAAAATTAATGAGAAAATTGCAGCCAAAGATTAGTTATTTCCTTAGCTAAAGAGTCCATGGTAGCTAAATATTTACATTTTTGTACCTTTAATCAACGTTTTTCAGAAAAATCCACACATAAATGAGTTCTTTAATAGGTATTAAAGGTGTTGAGCCTAAAAAAAAAACAGTTTCTTCACTTTGATTATTTTGACGAGAGCCTGATTCCACCACGCTGCCTCACATATCGTGACCAATACTTTTCTTTCTTCTTCCCCCCCGAGAACTGAATCTAAAATTTTTAAAAATAAAAATTTTGCCTATAGTGAAAGGCGTAGGTTTCATCTCCTAATACCATATTTCGGTAAACATACGTTGGAAATAATACTGACTCTAAAAGACAACTTTGTGTTTCACAATGATATGCAGATATCATCATCATCATCATCCGGTGCCTCCCCGACTGGCGTGGGCGATCATGGACCTCCACTTCACCCTGTCTTGCGTTGCAGCAATGGTGTCTGTTGTTCTTGCTGCTACCAGCTATGTTGTCATCTTGTCCAGTAACTTTTCCCTCTGTCTGCCTCTGCCTCTCTTTCCATCAAACTTGCCTATTGTTACAATATAATATGCAGATACCAGCAAGCGTGAAATTTAATTATGTTTTTTTCCTCTTCTTCTTCGTCCATAGCTTTGTCTTTCGTGTTCATCATACCCTGGGTGGTTGTAAAAGCGCTGTATGAGAACACGTTGTAAGTATGAATTATTACTATATTGATAAAGAAACATCTTTTTTTATATTGTCACAGCCTGTTTAACCTTTGATTTCAGTGTTCACTTTGCTGTTTATCTATTGATTCTAAAAGACACTGCACACCTGTACAGTGTGGTATTTAGAATTTGGGTCTCCAAAGAGTATTCTTTGTGTGACCTGATCAGAACGGAAAATCAAAACTGGTCCAATGCAGCCTCACGATAATAATACATAATATAAGCATATGAAAGCACATTTACACAAAAGTACAGATACACACTCTCACACACTCTCACACTCACACACACACACACACACACACACACACACACACACACACACACACACAC